GCCTCCTGCAAGCACAGTCCCCGATCGCTTTGATGGGGCACCTCCGAGAAAATACGCCCTAGACTGCATGCAAGGCATTGTAGGTCCCAGAACACGTAGGGCTGTGAGGTCCAGGTGAAACTGCGAAAGGAATCTGCAGGGGCTGTGGAGAAGATCATGAGTCAGAGAAGGACTTCCTGTGCTCAGTCAGCAGACATCCAAAACACACCTGGCACAGCACAGACCAGTAACGGACCGTACACTCACATCACCTGAGCTACTTGCAGGCGGACATGCGGAAGGAAGGAAGGAAGGAAGGAAGGAAGGAAGGAAGGAAGGAAGGAAGGAAGGAAGGAAGGAAGGAAGGAAGGAAGGAAGGAAGGAAGGAAGGAAGGAAGGAAGGAGAGCATGTCATAGGCAGCCTTCAAAACTGTTCTCGACCCATCAATGCACTAAGAAAGGGTAACGGAACACCACCAGCCACCCAATGCTGCTGAAATAGTGCGCCAACCCACTGGCAGCCACCAGATGGCAGCAGAGGAACAGAAGCAACACTCGGAAATGTGGAAGCGCAGCAGTGCGGAGACATTCACAACAACCCTCAACCAGCACGCAGCTGATGCTGTGAGTTTCTAGATGAAAGCCTACTTAGGTGGCTAAGGGGAGAAGAGTCACAGGCCAACGTCGCACAGCAGCATGGAAACATGCATGGCAAATCATGAACCAGCAACGGCATCAGGAATCGGAGAGAAGAAATGCCTAAACAGGACAACACGCAGACCACTCCTCAGAAGCATGACGTCAACCGAATAGCACACACACGCGGAGCCAATGAGGAGACCGCACAGGCAGCAACCGCACGCAAGCGAAGACTCACAAAAATGAGCAGGAAGAAATGGCCAAAGGGGATCACACAGCAATGGCAGTGGCTGCCCTTGCTGGGATGACGTGTGCATGCCATCACTGACAAAGGAGGGACACTGTGGCAACAGGCATCAGCATCCCTGATTCTGGAAAGCACCTTTCCCAGACTTGCAATGCAGGGACCTGCTCCCACCACTCTTGAAGACCAGGACTAAAACAGAGAATGTCAATGTGACGGGTGCCCAGGACTTCTGTAGCACCCTCAAAACAGAAACTGGATCAAGGAGGAACATGCAAACAGGGCAGGTGGCAAGGAAAGACATGTCACCATGGAAGCAGCACCAGACAACCGGAAAAGAACATGAAAAGTGGGAAAAGACAGAGCACAACACAGAAAACACTGCATGGCCCCTAATGGGAGCCTGAGAATGTGAGGCCAGAGTAATGCAGCGAATGCTCCCTATGCAGAAGGGCTGGGGGCAACGGGGGAGACCTGCAGGTCCTCACGGCAGGCAGGCAGTGAGTGGGAATTCGCACTGAAATAGCAACACCGACCCACCCGTCATGACTCCCTGTGGAATAGCACATGGAAGCTGTGCACCTGCACACCAGGGGACTGTGGCTGCAATACAACAGGGACGAGAAAACTGAACACACTCTTCGCCATCAACCTTCCAGGACTTCAAGGAGAACAGGAAGCACGCAGACAAGCCTAAATGCCCCAGAGGGGGAGCAAAGCAGACACATTGCTGTCCTCTTACAGCATAGCCAGACACAGGCACACAATGCCACCAGTGGGATTCATGAACACACGCCAGGAAAGGGGGATAACCGAGAGGCCAAAAAAGGACCCCACAGGGAAGGGAGCACAGCACCTCTGCAAGCCTATTCGGTCGGGACGGGAGGACGGGAACGCTGGGGAATGGGCTGTGGAAACGCTGCACACCCACTGCCATGCGACTCGCACCTAAAAGGGAAGCAGACCCACGCCTGGCCGAGCTGGGACCGAACCATGGGGCAGTGGGTCTACCCACCACCTCAGCCCACGCACTGGCCGCCCCTCCTCCCTCCCGCACTCTGCCCTGCTCACCAGCAGCCTCACGTCCGCAGCCGCTCCAGGGAGGCCCGCCGCGCTGCCCTCAGCCTCCAACACACGCCCGGGGGCCCTTTGAGCCGCTGAAGCCAAAAGCAAAGGAGGCGCCAAGCGGCTGACAAGACAAGGCTGCACCTGGCCCTGAAGCAAGCCATTGTGCGCTGCAGCGGGAACAGCTCCCTCTCCTGACTGAATCCCCCGCCTCAGACACCAACCTCCCTGACAGAACCCACTGTCTCTGGGCAGCAGACACGGCTCTGCAGAGCCGTAAACTGCCAGCTGCCAGCCGTAAACTGTCGGTCGGGGTAAACTGTCGGTCGGGGCTCGGGGTGCTTCCGGTGCCTCCAGAGCCAGAAAAGGCGCGCTGGGGCGGTCGGTCCTTGTGATTGAGATGAAGCTCACCTGTAGGCATGAGCTCTCGCCAGCAGGCAGCCCCCATCCTGGCGGGAAAAGCTCAGTTCTGGCCCATGCCCCTCAGCTAACACCCAATAAACCACAATGGGAAGCAGTAACATAGCTTCCTTCTGAGGGCACCTCATAAAAGCAAGGTGCAACCTCCTCACCCCCTCTCCACATGCACAGGGTGACGTGACAAGGTGCACCAACATACAAGGACTAATGAGACACGCACAAGGGGGGACTGGGGGCAGGGAGAAAACACACTCGTGCATTGGGCTCACAAGCCCATGGTCTTCATCATGCTTTTTGCAGAGGCCACTCTACCACATGTGGCAAACTTACTCTGCATCCACTAGGACTTGGCCTGAACTTCACAGACTGAAGGCACATGACAGGAGGAAGAGGGGTGGGGGCACAAAGAACTGGACTCAGCCAGCGTCAAGACAATGACTTCATTTATTCTTAAAGTGTGCCAGGCTCAAAGGAAACCCAAAACAGTCCACAGGGAGAAACTGGCATCTGTAATGGGGAGGGCACTGCATTGGAGAAGTGGGGGTAAGCCGAGTGGGTGCGGGCGCATTATCGGGGAGGTGACTCTGGTGGGGAGAAAACCTGGGATCATTTTGCGGGAAAGGGTGGGGGGGCGCTACAGGCAGGACGATGGGGAAAGACGTCCCAGAGAGAAAGAAGCCCAGGCTCTTGGGTGAAACATGCACCAGCACAGCACTACGTCGAGGACCACTGGGGTGGGTGAAGGGGGATAGTGCTGGACTAAAGGCAGCGCCGGGATGATGAAAAGCGACCACCCGTATCATCGGCCACGACGTTTTAAGGGGGCAGCAACGCATACAATAGATGGACAGGTGGGGACACATGCTTGCCCAAGCACAGTGTCCTCCAACCCACAGGTATGCTTCAGACACGCACACAGGCGACAGGATCCGTCATCGTCCTTTTTCACACTGGGCGCTCCACCACGTAATCCATGCACTCTGCGATGCCAGGAAAGGGTCCTCTCAACTTCCCATATCGGGGCCACACCCTAGGAAGAACCTGCCGAAAGCACAGAGGACTTAACTCAGGTTTGAGAAAACTGCGTCTATTTCAGCTCACAGGAAACCAAAAACCGCCCCGGGTGAGGCCAGCGCCTCAGAATGAAGGGGGCGATCACAGTTGGCATGGGGGCATGAAGGAGTCTATACTGGGTGGGACCCGGTGGAGCTGCTTTTCGGGATGACTTCATGAGCCCCAGCGGCAACACTCAGCTGGCCATGACCATTAAAGACTAGAGCCACACAATTTTCGTGCTCTTTTCGCAGATGCGGACCAAAGTCGCAGCTTTTTCGGCCCTATGCGGTGCACACACCCGGTGGGGGCGGGCAAATGAGCGATTGACGGCTCTGGCAGCGGGGCCATGGAAACCCACAGGCGATGATGGACCCAGGAGACCCAATGTCAAATCTCGGGATGAGCAAGGGGGGGAGGGGGGAGGGGGTGTGGAGGATGTGCAGGGTGCCGCTCACACAGGACCACGTAGGGGCATTTTCGAAGAAAGGTGTGCCACCAGAGGCGCGCTTGCCAGGCCTGGGGGGCGGGCACCTGGCACCACACTCCTGAGCCTCCCTCGAAAGAGGGGGGGGGGGATGTCACTGCCAAATCCCAGAAACTGTCATAGCCCGTTGTCTGAGGGGAGGGGGGGTTGTATGTTAGGGAGGTTGCCACCAAGCTCGCGGTTGGCATTGCACAGCAACGCGGGTTGACTCGCTACCCGGCTTTACCTGCGCTGTCCAGTCGGCTTCAAACCGCCCATCAACAGCAAAACCAAGAGGGGGGGGGGGGCGGAGGAGTGTGGTGTAAAGGGGCCTGGGGACCGCAAAGCCCCCCAAAGAATTCCAGCAGTCACAGAACTGCGGCATCAGACACTCCCAGCTGTCATGTGCACGACAGGTCTTTTCTTTGAAAAGGGGGCGGGGGGGTCGCAGGACTTGAGCCTTACTCAAAAGAAAGGGTCCTTCACACTCGGGCAACCTTCCCTACAGCTGACTGGGTGGGGCAACCCATACCCCTGCGTGCTCAGCAAGACACCCAGTTAAATAGCAGCAGGGACAAAGGGGGGGGGGGGGGGGGGCTGCGCTGAGACCCGCGGCTACAAATTGCCTCACACACAAACTTTCTACAACATGTGCTGTTACAGTGGGGCCAGGGCAGCAAGGGGATGGGGCTACGGACTGGTTGCAGAAGAAAACTGAGAAATCCAGTGGAAACCAAACCAAGAAACAAATTGGACCTTGGATTACAGTGGGTCAGGTCAGACTGTGTACAGGAAACGTGTGTTGCTACCTATTCAAAGGCTCTCACATACATGAAAGCTACATGTTTTGAAGTGGACTCATCAAACAATAAAAACCATGATGCCCAAGAGCATACTCCACCATGCATGTTCCCTTGAATAGCAGCTGGGGTTAACAAGGGGGTGGAGTGACTTAGCAGTGAATTCTCAGAGATGCTCAGCAACTGCCGACAAGTGGACATTCTGCTGGCCCACCCTTGAAACTGAAAGGGGTGGAGGGATGGATACTTGCTTTTTCAAAACCAAGGACAGTGCAGGGAAGACTACACATGGACCGAACTAGGTGGGATGGGGGTGGGGGGCAGCTGGTGGAATACTAAACACACAACTTCATTGGGGGGCTGCCCAGGGTTTTGTGGAATTAGAAGAAACAGCAGGGGGTTGCAACACAACAGCAACATTTGAAAGGATATTGCCCACCTTCAGACAGTGGTCACCCCCGTAGGCTTCACAAATCAAACAGACAATCAACTTCATGCCACTGACGCACAAGATAGAATAAGGTGCATAAAGCATGACTGACAGAATGAGGGAGACAGGACATGGAGTACCTACCTCGGGGCACGTTGGCTGTGGGGGAAACTGTGCTGCTTGCTAACTTCAGCACAGAAGAGGAACCAGCCCAACATTAGGAATCAGGAACCACACTTACCATACTCAGTATACATCAGATGTCTCCAATGTCTGCCATCCCCTCAGACCAAATATCCCTGTTCCATGGATTCGTGAAGACACAATAGCCCCATAGCGACAAAGCTGTTCCCCTACATAGGTAACTAAATGTTGCCTTCGGCATGGGAAGGGGAACTGTATACTACACAACCACAGCAAATACACAGAAAATAACTTGACAGTGAGCACATATAGGATAGAAGGTGAGGTAAACAATGACCCTGACCAGGTAAAGGGCTTTGGGAAATCAAACCAGGTCTCCTGTGAACAACCAGGAAGATAAAAACACCCACCCCAGATGAAACCATGTCCATGAAAACCACACCCAACAGGACCCTGCAGCCATTCCGGCCCCCTACATGTCAGCTCACTCTCTGTAAACCATGAGTGGGAATGGACAGGTAGCGGACAGACTGGGAGCTTGGCTGAATATGGCACAGGATAATGCACCATGTCCACACAACACAGCCAATAAACACATACAAGTATCCACACAACAAGGTAACAACAGTGGGGTGTACATAGCATTAGGACAGTCACATACTCTGTGGCCTGTGGAGACAAACCACCCTGTGTTATACAGGGAGACCACACAAGACATGCTATCAGCAGACAACTCCATGGATGCATTCCAGACAACACTCTCCAGGTATGTCTTCGGGATCTCTGTCTTCTGTCCTTCCAAGAAGGCAGCCATCCTGTTTAGGTCCCACCCAACCCATACAGCAAGTTGAAAGTCATAGAGACATGAATGACAAAGCAAAGGAAACTATTCACAGGCAGCAAACAAAGCTGTGCTCACAGATCCTAAGGGAGACATGTCACCTCCCCGCAGTGACATGCGGCACAGATTCATGAAGGTGAACAGAGTCAAGGCTTCCCATGAGGTACCCCTAGGGTATCCACAAAGATGACAACCTTCATTCAATGCTGGCAAGGTGCGTGCATGGGGAAAACAACGCACAGATCCCTCAGACCAACAGCAACCTCCACAGGGAGAACATGGCCACCAGGAAGGGCACAAAGACCTAGAAAAGAGACATTTCTGTTAGCAGAATCCATAAACAGCAGGTTCACAGGACTTCAACCACAACAAACCCATTCATGAACCCAAACCAAGCAACCCACCCACCCACCCACCCAACACAGGCAGTCCAGGATGCTCAAAAGAAAAATGGACCTCAGGGACAGCCCAAACTCTCTACCCTACTCTACAAACCTATAAATTATCAAACATCAACACTACGACCTTGAAAACAGACTACAACACTTTCAATGACTTTTGGCTCCTTAGTACTGGGATAAGCTCTTCAACACTAAGGTGATGGCTTCCAACTGCCTTCACAGACTGGGATGACGTGGCACACTTCAGCACAACCTAGGCTGGGCTGCTTGCAATGACGGTGGCTTTCCAGAGCTACACAAGATTGGGGAAAACACTCAACTGCAGACACAGATGTCACTCTATGCAACATTAGCATACAAACGGCACCTGCCACCCTCCACAACATCCATCTGTTACTGGTGGACTCACTCTAGAGTGCTATCTCCTTCACACTCCACCAGGCCCCTTCTATATCCGTCTTTTCTACAACATAACACAGCACACCACTACACTCTAACCTTCCCTAACAATCATGGGAGAGCAAGGACCAAGCCTACCTGGACATCACTAGGACCACACATAAATGCTCTGACGGACCGGACCCTATGGGCACTGCAAAGACTGGCTCAAACAACACCCTTTCCACAGGTGGCATTCTCACCCACCCAACAGAAACAACAGACTCAACTCCTCTACGGTGCCAGGTAACTTACAATCAACACATACTGTGGCACAAAAAGGAAAAAACTCCCATGGGGAGCCCTGGAAAAAATGGATGCACGATACTGAAAAGGACAGGGAGCTGACAAAAATAGGTGGGAGACACTGCTTCAGAGAAGACCTACACAAAGGACCTCCTCAGACTTCACAACCACAATATAGGAGATTCACCTACTAAATACTCCTCTCCCCTCCTCCTCCTCCTCCTCCTCCTCCTCCTCCTCCTCCTCCTCCTCCTCCTCCTCCTCCACTACAATCTGTGCATCTGGGCCACATTTCAAACAAAAATTTTTAGAAACTCAAAACACACAGGCCATACACACATATATCTTTTCGTTCAAAAAAAATCAACATGGCTTCCCATGGACCTTAACCTACAGTCAAACAGGAATACAAGGGGAAAACAAAAGCACATGCATGCAAGAAAACCACATCTACACATGGTCTTGCCTCCTCTCCTACAGGGGACAAGACACTGCAACTCCTATGAAACCTACACCGTGGAAACATACAATACACCACTAGGTCCACAGGCAACAAGCTGCACATGCTCTCCACAAACCACTACCTAACCTCCTGCTCTGGGACATCCAATAGGGACACATACCTTCTTCCTTTTCACCTAAGAAAGGACTGGCCAAGCTTCCATGGGTCGACACTGAACACTGTCACACTTTCTATTCCTCACTCGGTAACATCCTGTCATACTTATCCTCACACTCAACTCCCCTACGACAGTACACTGCCATCTAAGCAAACACGCCTGCTCTCTGCATCTGAGATCACTTCAACAAACTCTCATCGTTCGGAACCGTGCCACCTTCTGACTTCTTGATGGCATAAACACAGCCACCCAAAGACACTGCTTCACCTCACAGGGAAGCTCCAAGGAACAACGACCTCCCACGGATGGCCAAACAGGGACTTCCACATTCAATAAATGACCTGAAAAAAAAAGCAACAAACATTTAGACAGCAGCCTTCACCGCAAACGGTCAGAAGGAATCCAAAGCAGACAACACTCGCTGTTCGGGGGTGAGGGGGAAGGGAGCCTCACATGCCTGCACAACACCCACCACAGGACTGTCATACTCACAACCGCCTCCAGAGTCCACGACGGGTCACTCAAACAACTGGCCACAGGACTTCTACGCAAAGAGTGGGGCCAGGGGGACGACCCTGAAAATGGCACGTGACCAATCATCACAGGAGCCACTTACCAACACATCCCCTCCATGGCTGCTTAGCTTCACCACGCCCGCCATTTCATGAGGACCCCAGACATACTCACACAAACACATCAGCCTGCGGCTTCCACCTACAACCATTACACACACATACAAGACTTGAAACAAGTCTATGCAACTACCTATGCCGATTCAACTACCTCTCACACCCATCTTTCTTTCTCTGCTCCCCTCCCTCCCCCCCCCCCGGCACCTCCCTCATACAATCTCTACAAATCACTAGAAGAAATATCCACAGTGCTTCCACGACCATTTAAAACCATAACTGTGAGGGAGGACAATCCATGCAGTTCTGGGACACGGAGACAAGCACACCCCAACCCTCAAAAGCACTGGGGGAAGTAACTCCCAAGGGGGACCCCCAAGGGCTCAAATCCTCATGCTGACATAGATGTTTACCATGGCCACACATCCTCCATCCATGCTCCTCAACGAGGAACACATCATGGGACTAGGTCCCTACTGAAAACACAACACACATCAACTCCACACAGATGAAACGATGACCAACCTCTCCTAGCACAGGCACAGACACCTCAAAACTCAAACAAGACAAACTCAAAAACCATCCCCTCGGCCACTCTCCTCTCCAGGGGATCTTCCCTTCTCTCCCATGCTCTCCCTCACTTCAACACCAAGGAAGCGGTCACAGACCTTTCCGACAATCCTGTCCAACTTCCAAAACGCATGCGGACACTCCTTGCTCTGGTCCATCACCACAGAAAACCTTCTGCAAACTCCTACACCAGGGGTCCTCAACCTTCTTAAACACGGGGCCAGCTCACTGTCCCTCAGACCGTTGGAGGGCTGGACTATAGTTTTTAAAAAAAACTATGAACAAATTCCTATGCACACTGCACAGATCTAACTTTGAAGTAAAAAAACAAAACGGGAACAAACACAATATTTGTATTGGCATGTGGCCCACAGGCCATAGTTGGAGGACCCCTGCTCCAGACAATGGCCTCCCATGCACCTTCACAGCACAACACAAAGGCACCGGAAAAAGAAAAACAGGCCCACAGAAGAAAACCACATCTAGAGAGGATCTTGCCTCATCTCATGCAAGGGACAGAAACAAGCAAACAGATCACACCTACAGTGTGGGGACGTGCACCGCACCCGTTGAAAACACAAAACTCTTCACTCCACAGGCCTCCACGGTCCACAAGGAGGAAAACTGAACAGGGAAAAAACATCTTCATGCCACGGCCCATGAAGACTCCCTCCGCTAGGCACTCAGTCATTCCTCCATTCATTCTCTGACTTGCTCTCAGCTACACAATTCTAGGACGGCAACGCTCATCCATCCTTTAAAAATCGACTCGCATCCTTGGCTAACGTAGAATCCCCAAAACCAGCAAATACGGACCTCATCGCCAAACTGCCCCACAGGTTCAAAAACGTTCCCGTGCCGCTTCAAAAGCACAGGTGGGCACAAACCCCTTTGGATCGCTGCACAGAGCATCAGCCTCCACCATCAACTATCCCAGATTCCATGACAGCCAAAAGTGGGTACCTTGGAGATAAGCACATCCGTCCCATGTTCAAGCTGTAAAGGAAGCAGCTGGTCCAAGTCTCAACCTCTGCATCCCACCCCTCTCCCTCTCCATTCCTCCGTAAAACAATCCAGAAAATAGACTTTCATTGAAAAACCTGCAAAGATGCACATCTCCAAAATTGTACAATTCCATTCAGCATCTCACACTCCCTGCTTGACAATGCACAGTGCCCTCTTTCAAAGTCGTTCTGCGCAAGATCCAGGAGAGGACCCATGGATGACACTTACTTAGAACACACAATGTGCATTTTCAAAAACGATGTGCACAGGAGTGGCAGAAAAAAACCATGGCAAAAGAAAGCCATCAGAACAATGACATCAGGACCGTTCCACGTTCTTTCAAAAGGGGCGGTCATCAATCTACATCAGACTCCCCCAGAAAGGTGGGAGCTCAACAACTGCTGCAGCTTTCACGAGGGAACGGTCGTGCACATACCACAGAAGGACGACAGACGTGCACCGCTCAAGACAAACAGCACAAAAAAAATGCATGCTCTGCACAAAAACCACATGGACGGTTCTCAGGACACTCAAAAAGGCACTCTGTCTTCTTCAATAGAAAACACGGATGCAAAAGAAAACGAAACAGACAAGAAACACATGTAGATAGCCCACACCACCAGAAAACTGGAAAAATACATTCCATCACTAGGACGAGAAAATGCACATTTCGGATACAAGCAACAACTGCCGGAGGGGGCTCCCCTAGCTCCAGCCACAAAAAACACTCCTGACATGGCCTGACCCTCCCTGACTCACAACCCTGGTGTAGGGTTTCTTCCTTGCAAGGGCCCTACCCGAGCCTGCTTCACCCAAAGGCCTTTCACATCCTGCACTGTCCTTCCTACTTCACTGCCCATCCCAAACTACCTTGCCCTCTCAAACGCCCTTGCCCTCCTGCAACCCCTGCATAACACCGCAGCCTTTCACAACCCCCTAGTCCAACAGCAAATTCACAACATACCATGTGGATGCTTGTCCTTTGGAAACTGCCTACGTCAAAAACTCACTTGGGATGACCCACGTAGCCACCACATTTCAGACACTGACCTGTGCTTCCAAAATACTGCCAAAGGGAACAGGACCAACGCTCCTGTTTCGTGCCACCCTGCATCCGCGGCACTGAACCGACGACTCGCGGGCAACACAGGCACACGGAGGCTCCGCTGAAAATACAACACATCCACGCAGTGCTTTCTTCCCCATGGGCTTGCCACACAACACTGATTTCTTCTTTCACTTCCAAACACCATCCACTGTCATCACTCAGGGGACAAAGGACAGAAAACACTGCCTACGCCTAACAGACATACGACACGCAGTTTGGCTAGACCACAATCATCAAACATCAAAACACCATCTTCCTCATGAACCACCTCAACAGAGGAATCGAAGGGATCCAAGCACAACATTTCAATCTTCTTCACAAATACTAAATTACTTCACCATTTCACACAACACCAGTGCCAACACATGACACATCACTCACACACACACACACACACACACACACACACAGAGGAACCCTATCTATCTGGCCCAACTCAAAAAACACAAAACCAACTTCCAGGATTCCCAACTTTCACTGCATACTACAGAACTTGGGGGACGACATGGTCATCGGGACCCCAGCCTCTCCACCCCCTGCAACACTCCACACACAGGATCCCATTCCATACCACAAGCAAGGGCAACCAGCGGCACAGACTCTACACAAACCCCATCCAAACCTCCTGCTCTGGGACATCCAACATCGACACTTACCTTCTCCCTTTTCGCCTACACAACAGAAGGGCCATGCTTAAGCGAGTCCACATGGGACACAGGCACATCAACAAACACATACACGGTATTGCAATCGCTCAACAACACTACAGGACTCAGCCTTTCTGAAAAAAAAAAACACAAAACACATCCTCATGGGCTCACCAGTCACTCTTTCTGGGCCTCCTTCGGTAAAATCCTTCCACACATAGCATGGCAATCAACGCTTCTACAACAGTCCATAGCCAGCTAAGCAAACGCTCCTGCTCTCGCACCTCCTGTCCCTTGAACTGATTCTCACCCTTCTGAAACAAAACACCTTCTTACCTCTTCAGAGCAGAAAGGCATCCACCCAAGGACACACTGGGTCACCGCACAGGGAAGCTCCAAAGAAAAATCACCTCGCATGGATGGCCAAACGGGAATGAACATCCACCTTCAATGCATGACTTGGCCTGAAAAAAAGCAACAATTATCTCCACAGCAACCTTTGCCACAAACCGTGGGAAGGAACCCAAAGCACACCACACACCCTGTTTGGGGGAGAGCCTCACGCGCCTGCGTGGCACCCGACACGGGGCTGTCACCACTCATTGCCACCTCCACCCGCTCCACCAAGGCTGCCTCCAATAGCTGCCCACACGACTCCTGAACAAACAATGGGACCAGACGACGACTCTAAAAATACCACATCGCCAGGGACCACGGCACACACTCACCAACACCAATCTTCCCCCACCCACCGTTTCACGAAGACCCCACACAGACTCACACAAGCACACACGACCTGCATCGGCCGAACGGCTCCCACCTACAACCACTCACAACAAACACATACAACACTCAACACGAGAAAATTAACAATCACAATTCAACAATCGCTCACATCCATCTTTCTTTCTCTACTCCCTCCCCTCCCTCCCTCCCTCCCTCCCTCCCCCCCCCGCCCCCCCCCCCCCCCGCCCCAATCAAAACCTATTGCACCAAGGGACACTGCCAGGGCACCCACCTGGCTGCTTCCATCACACCCAACAGCCAGCGGAGACATCGGCCTCCCCTCAACCTTCTCACACGGAACATCTTGGAAGCACAGGCACGGATGAAGGGACAGAGGGACGGAAAAATGAGGGGGTGGGGGAACAAAACCAAAGTGTGAAAGACCTTTTAGAAAACTATCATCACACGCTCTAACAATTCTAATACGTTAAGGACACTTGCACACGCGCAAGGGAGGATGAATGGACACAGTCTTCCATGACGGACAACGTCCTCGTCGACTCAGAAACACACTTGGACACCAACACGGCACGCACCGCCCACCTACATGCTCCACCACACACCCACAACACACACACACACACACACACACACACACACACAGCCAAACACACCTCTCCCTCACCACCCACTCCAACCACACTCCAAAAACAACACTGCCTGCACAACGAAGCACCAAAAACAACACATCCACCCACTCCCACACCAACGGGACAACAAAATCACAACACAACTCAACCGCTTACCTCTGCCGACAATGGCTGGGGAGCTTGCCCCACGAACAACGCACGAGGACACACTGCTCAGGCATTAAACATCAATTCGATCACCCTGGCTCAGCCGGAATGCCTACAGAAACCACTCGGGACCGGGACCGCGGGCTTTTTAAACGACTTTGGGCGGGATTTCCAAGGGCGGAAACTTTTGGGGGCGGAGACTTCTTCGCGCATACCCTGAGGGCACACATTCCAGTCTCCTCACCGAAACTCAACAGTGCCCTGCATCAAAATCACTGCCCACACGGAAATCACCTCAAAAGCCACGAAAGGGGACAAGGGGACCACCTCCAGGGCTCCATCAACCCAAACGGCACCTACCCCTCAACCTTGGGGACAAGAAGTGCCTTGCACGGCCTCCCTTTCCTCTTCGGGACAGTGACCCGCTGGGATCCCAAAACACAACCTGCACTCTCAGCGGACACGGACTCTCCACCTCACACACAACACAATGCATCACCTGCTGCTCACAAACAGCTTCAGTGCCTGGGACACACGCCTCCTCGCTCCTACACACTCACATCTCCCTTGCCCCACCACACCTGCCCTTCTTCATTGTTGCTCCCACCCAAACGGCCGCCGCTCGCCACACCCTAGCACCGAGTGGACCGCAGGAGACCATTCACCGGCCCTGGGACACACACACCACCTGTCCTTGACACACACCACACAACCTTCGCCTTCCTCACATCACTCAACAACCAACAATCTGACCTGCCTTGGCTCCTCACAAACGTCCCTGCCATCAGGACTCACAGCCACGCACCACACTCAGCCCACTCTCCCGGCCCACACTCACTTGGCCCCAGCCAACAGGCTCCATCCACAACGACCCACACGAGCGCTGCACCCTCTGCACACACACTTCCGGGGAAACAAGAGCAGAGAGACCAGCCGGCTCCCTCACCAACCCCAAAACCTCACCCTTCCTCCCCATTTCAAACCTAATACCATCCAGACACCACTTCCACCCACACAACACCATCGCCTGCCCTCTCAACAGCCACACCCACATGCCCATGCCTGCGGGGAGCCACACACCTCCGCCCTCATCCCCTCAACAATGGCCCATTCACCGTCAGCCTTTGGCCCAAGGGAACCCCAGCGCTTCCAAGGCACAAAGCCTTGCCAACACATTTCTGGCCAAAATCTCCAATAGCCTCTTCTCTTTGGCTTTGGAAATGGATGACTTCTGCTTGACTCCACACCACAGTGGCTACACAACAAAATCACAGGCCGCACACGGATGGCACTCACTTCCTACCCCAATACAAAAAGCTTACCATCCAAAATGCACTCAAAAAAACCACATCTTCACACAACACCTGTCTCTCTCGCTTATAGCATCGGCAAACAGGGACACACTGGCCACTGCCTACCATAGGGACCATGCCACACAACACCCAACTACTGGCAAAGGAAAAGGCATAGATATCACTTCAAAATGTGGACAAAAGGGGACACATGCTGACCTGACAAGCTCAGGGGAGGCCTGCATAGCACTTTTGCAGACTCAGAGACATAAAGTAACCACAAAGGATGGTCTGAAATTAAACTTTAAAAGCAGTGATGGTGGGCAGTTACGTCCTAGGCCAGTATCTTCACTGATAAGGTCAACTGAGCTCATCTATCTTTTTGCATCTATGATAACATATCCTTGGAATGTCTGGGTAACTTGTGACTTCCCTTTTTATGGAGCCCCTGGGGCACAGCCAGGTGTGCTGGGCCCAGGACAGATGCTGCAGATTCTTTCATTTATCATGTTACTTGTTCCTGTACCCACCTAAGGATGTATCCATCATTTTACTTTTTATCCAATCCCAGGGGTTCTCCCCCCCACCCCAGCTTTGCTTTCTCCCTCCTCCTTAATCTATCACCAATGAATTTCATGTAACTCACTTATGTCCCTCCTTTGATTACAAATGTATAAATACAATTGTAACCCCGCCATTCCCCGGAGCACTATCTCAATTCCTTAAGGTTCTGCTTCCTGGCATATGTCGACAGTTTGGCTCAAGTAAACTCACAAAAAGTTTTTATAGGTTTCAATGGTTTTTTTTACGTTAACAAAAGGAACAGCTTCTCTAGAGGCAATACCCAGAACACACATTGACATGCAATCTACTTTCCCCACGACATAGGACTCAGGAGGGACTGTGACTGGGAGGCCCGCCACAAAAGCCTGGGAGTTAGCAAACAGACAGAAAACAGACAAACCTAGGAACATAGACATAGGACAACCTCATGGCATCGTTGTTATGGGTTCAATCAGCGAGATAGACCACTGACTCAGAATTTTAAATTTAAGAGCCTTTATTAAGCTGGCCAGGTGACTACAGCATGTCCCTCCTGTAGGGAACCTCGTACTGCAGTGCCGACCGAGTGTACAGCAAAGCCTTTTATCTGCAACACTACAAACCATTTTTTAAAACATGAAAAAACAAACTGCAAAGCGGTTCATTAGCCGTTCCTGGTACTGGCAGGGTAAAAAGTTTGCATAAAATTTACGAGCAGGGTCACGCCTGGCTGGGTTTAATCATAATGATGGGGCAGAGGCCATGTGCTCAGAAAAGTGCCTTCTTCCCGAGCCCAGGCCCCTGCTGGCCACGCCCAGGATTTCTTTGAACTAACCAATGACAAGCAAGGGATGTGCGCGCCATAGAGATGACCACATCCTGTGTAACAAGACCCGACTTGCGCCTGGCCAATCGGCAGGACCACAGCCAGCTCCCCTCCCCTCACTATTAAAGCCCTGATTTTCTCACGGGTGGCACTCGGTTTCCGGTCGCTGCGTCGACTGGAGGCCCGGGTCGGGTTAGCTAACTCAATAAAGGACCTTCTGCTTTTGCATCGGACTGACTCCCTGGCATGGTTTCTTGGGGATCTTGAATTCTGGGCATAACACATAACACATTGTTTTTCTAGCGAGATAATTAGCAATTTTTCTCTCCCATGGTCCCTGCCCCTCAGCCCACTCAATAATTCTTCTCTGCCAGGCCCCTGCCCCTAGCACAATCGTGTCTTCAAGATTTGGATGGGGGAATCCCCTGACCCAGCAGCGATGCTCCTTCAATAAAGGTCTCTCCAGGGATAACATTTAGCTTTTCTGCCAGGATGACACAACAAAAATACCAGGAAACACAATATCGGGGGCGGGGGGCGGGGGGCGGAGGGGGGAGGGGAGAGGGGGAGAGAGAGAGAGAGAGAGAGAGAGAGAGAGAGAGAGAGAGAGCACGCGCTCTCCAAAATGGTGGTTTCCTAACTTGTTTTATGCATGCATTGAAAACAACAACCGGTTTGGCTCAGTGGATAGAGCGTTGGCCTGCGGACTGAAGGGTCCCAGGTTCGATTCCGGTCAAGGGCATGTACCTGGGTTGCGGGCACATCCCCAATAGGAGATGTGCAGGAGGCAGCTGATCGATGTTTCTCTCTCGTCGATGTTTCTAACTCTCTCTATCTCTCTCCCTTCCTCTCTGTAAAAAATCAATAAAATATATTAAAAAAAAAAAAAAAAGAAAAAGAAAACAACAGCAGACATCAATGAATGACTTGAAATCCATGGCTGATAGATGGGGGAGTAGGGACAAAGCAAAGTGGAGGAAACCTCTGGGGTTGAACAAAAAAGAAAAACTATTCAGCTGGGTGCAGGGCACTTCAAAGTCAACCATTCACAGAACCGCAAGAACAATACAGGCACTTCTGCTCCGAGCCAGGGTGACGGAGCTGCACCCTCAGGGAAACGGACAAACGGAACTCCAAAGGCACAAGGACATTTCACAACTAGCTCATCTCATACACAAATAACAAAAGCCTGCATCTACATGCAAATGCATCTTTCTCAGGGAAGAGATTGCCCGAGGACATGACGAACCACTAGAAACTCACTTTTGAGTCAAGCTTTGGCTTTTCAGGCCTTCCTCATGGGGACGTGCAGTCTCTTCCCTTGGTGAGGCCACCGCGCAGCACTTCCCTGAGTGACTCACGCAAACCTGCAAACGGGACATTCAACACATCCAGGACTCACGATACCGCAAGCATCCCATCTGCTTTCTCCTGCTACACTGCTACACACTGTTCAATGCAATTGCATGGCATCAGTGAGTCCAACTCAACACTCAGTCCTAGGATTCAAACCACATGGGGGGGGGGGGGGGCATGGGGAATTCCAGCTTTTCCAATGGCAGCGACCAATTCATTGGGCAAAGCTCACATCCACCACCCACCCCATCTGAGGGACTCACCCAAGATGCTCAGACACCTGGGGAGGCGTGAGCTCACAAACTCAAGCCTCCACGGACACAGGGGCACAGCAGGGCGGGGGGGGGGGGGGCACGAACCCTCCCTCCACACATGGCCGAGGGAACTCACCCCCCAACGCCATCCACCCTTCCAGGAAAACACCTTCACATGCTTCACCTGGGAATCCCACCATTTTCTCAACGACTCACACACGGAGCCTCTTCCACCACCACACATCACTCGATTGCATGGCCGATCTACAAACCAACCCTCCACAAAACCGGCTCCTCA